CCCCCCGGGGGGGGGGGGCAGGGCAGTCAGGCGGGCCCGGGGCGAGAAGACCCAGCAGAAGCCTAGGGGAGGGACCACCAAGCGGAACAAAGGAAAGAGGAACTTGACACCAGGGCATTCTGGTCCCTGCCACGTGCTTTCTGCTGAGGTGGAAACCAGTCCCCAGGGACCCAGGGAGGGCCTGCAGGGGACCCCATGACGTGAGAAGGCCCAAGATGTCCCCTCCCCTCCCTCCACCCCAGCATCTCACGCTCTCCCTGCCTCTGAGCCTTTGCACACGCTGCTCCTATGGCCGGAAACGGCCTTCCCGACTCCTTATCCCCGAGGTCCAGGCCTGAGCACCCTCTGCAGAGCCACCTGCCACCACGTGTGTGTCCACAGTGCCCGGCACCCCCATCCAGGGCGGCCATAAGCACCGCATGGCGGTGGTGTGTGCACCTTCCTCCCCATGAGACTGCGGGAGCCGGGGACGCCTTCCTCTGCCCCCCAGGGCCTGCTCCTCAAGGGAGTAACAGAGCAACAGCAAGCCGAGCCGGGCTGGTGAGCCGGGCCGACTGCCAGGGGCTCTCCGGCATGGCCAGCATGCTGCCTGCTGGGGCCTAGCGGGCGGGCGGGCGGGCGGCCCTCCCGGCTGCACATCCCAGTGGACCCATTAGCTTCCACCCGCACAGTGGCTTCTCCGTGCCCCAAACTCCATGGCAACTGTGAGCTGCTGGTCCGTGAGCACTGGGCCTCGTGAGCGCAGACTGCCCAGACTAAAAACGCTGCTCGCAGCCCAGGGTTTGGTCCGGGCGGCAGGCAGGGCCAGCTGCAGCCTATCAGATTTGACCTGGATGTGTGGTGTGGACAGGGCATGGCTGGGCCCTCAGAGGCCCACTGACAGTTCCCAAAGACAGGGCAAGGAGGGAAGGCCAAAGGCCATTCAAGTGACCAGAATGACCACCGGGGAGGCTGGGGCATCTGCTGAGGGAGCCCCTTAATCCAGAGCTTTCCTTGGCTGTAAATCCTGGCTGCCTGTGGCGCAGTCCAGGGTCCTGAGCAAAGGGCTGAGAGTACCAAGCAAACTGCTTCCCCTGCCAAGCCTGTGTGGGGCCAGTCCCGAGACGTCGAGGCAAAGGGCCTGCCGTGGCTGCCGAAAGCACCTCCCTGAAAACACCAGCTCAGCAAAGGACAGAACCCCAGCCCTGGGGCAGAGGGAGCAGACCCAGGTGGGGCAACAGGGACTTCTTGGGGCATTAAGGGTGGCTAGGCAGCAACAGAAATGACTAGACAAGTCCCTGAGGTTTTATCAGGGATCTTCTCTGCCTGCCCTGGGGGGTGTGGTGGGGAGAGGCCGGGCAGGACACTGTTTGGGGACAAGCAGCCCTGGGCTCCCATCCTAGTGCTGCCACATATCAATGGTCTGACTCGGAGCAAATGACTTGGCCTCTCAGTGCCTCAGTTTCCTCATCTGATCAGATTATGTGAGATTCTGGCACACAGTTGTTCATCAAACCACAGGCGTCCCTTCTTCCCCCCAGGCCTGCTCGTGGGGCACGAAGTCTGCCTCTGGGGCCACTAGGGACTGACCTAGGGGGTGGGAGCTCTGCCATCCCGAGGGGCTGCAGACAGCAGACTGTGTGTCCCTCCACACGGCGTGCCACGCAGCTGGGTTCAGGGGCCCGGAGAGGCTCTGCCCTGATGGGGAGCCCGCAATGCAGGGGACAGGGTGGGGCTGGGCCACTCACTCTTTTCGTTGGTCAGCCAGAGAGCTGCCGCGGGTCAGCGCAAACATGTCAAACTCGCCTTCCAGTTGGCCCGAGGCCTCCAGAGACTGCAGGCCAGCCCTCACGCTGCTGGAGCCCAGGTCTGCAGAGACAGAAGGGGACATGAAGGGCCCTGCACACTGGGCAGCGGCTGAGCTGCTAGGCCCAGGGACGGTTCTGGAGAAGCAGGGGGGCGGCGGGGGTGGGTGCGGGGCGGGACAGCGCAGGTATCCGGATGGGGCAGCCAGGTCCCTGCTGGCTGAGGGGCCGTGGGTACGTGACTTCCTCTCCCTGAGGTGGAGTCACAGTCCCCCTCCCCGGGGCAGCTGTGAGAATGAGTAAAACGCTGCCCACCGCATCTGGCACAGGACATGGCTGTGCGGTGGGCTGGCGATCACACGCGCAGCTGGGTTTTCCAGCAGCCTCACATTAGTGATTCAGAACGGGCTCTGACATACTTCCTGGGCTCAGCACAAGCAGGCAGCCAGCGGCGTGAAAACCAATCACAGTGACGATGATGGCACCTGCTAGCGTGTCCCGGGAGCGCACCCCGGGCCTTGTGCGACCTGGGGCCCTTTCATGTGTGAGCTTACTCAGTCCTCGCGACGGCCCACGAGGAAGGGCCCATTCCTGCCCTTTACACAGGAGAGGGGGCGGAGGGCGTTCAAGCGACTAGGCCAAGCTCGCCTCGATGGCTCAGGCCACGGAGAATTCAGTGTCGAGGGGCGACCACAGAACAGGGGGCCCCTGAGGCCCGGGGAGCTCAGGAGCTGTGGGCTGTGAGGGGAAGAGCCCCACGTGTTTGGTCCTGGGTGCCCGACCTCGCAGTGGGGTTCAGCCCAGCGAGGCGGGGTCTGGGCCAACGCTCTGCTGTTGGCGCTCTGGCCCCAAACTGGGAGGAGGGCACCCCCAAAAGTGAGGGGTGCCCGCAGCACCGTCATGTGCCCTCAGCCAGAACCCCCACCCTGAACTTACTCATTCCCGCCAGCTGGGATGAGAGGCTGCTGGTGGCCGCCTGGTCAGGGCCCATGTCAATCAAGTCTGCCGCTGCCTCGGCCTCCTGCGGGGCCTGGGGAGAAGGGAGTTGCCGCCGTTGCTGGGGGACATGCCACCAGGGCCCTGGCAGCTCTGTCTGGGAATGAGGGAGTCTTCCCTGCTCTGTCCCTAGCTCAGTTGCACCCCCTGAGGGGTTGGGAAGCCGGCATTAGCTGGTGGCGGGGCCTTAGTTACCTTAAAGGGACAGTGACATAAAAAGTTAGAAGGGGACTTCTCTAGGAGTCTGGACAAGAGGGCACATCCCGTGCAGGTTGTCTGGGGAGGGAGCCCTCCTCTCCCACATCAGCACGGGCATGATCTGGTCATAGAAAAGCGCCTTTACCTTGCCGGTCTGGCCCGTGCGGAACCGTTCAAACCTACGAAGACAGAAACGAGCCGAGTCAGAGAGACAGAGAGGCCCCTGAGCACAGCCCAGCCCGGGCAGGGTTCCTCACACTGCAGGCCTCCCAATCCCCCTGGCGGGTCACAATTAGGGTGACAGACCCAGTTTACGCCCGGGATGCGTATCCCTGCCGGTGTATCCCTGGGGGACGGGTAACAGTGCCCCTCGTTCACTGGCAAGAGTGTCCCAACTGGAATTTTTGACTGCCTGCCCACTCCGGTCGTGACCGGCACACACACAGGGACGGGCCAGGACAGACAGGAAAATGCGGACGCACGGCACACGGCAAAGATGAGTTCTGTTCCCTGAAACGTTCCCGACATGCCAAGGGGCTGCTGAGGTGGGCGGAGAAGGCCGTGGTCTGCTGAGTGCTGGCCCTGTCACTTACTGAGTGACGGTGGGTACATTAACGTCCCTTCTGGAGCTCGGCCTCGTCTTTTACAAGGGGACGACGGTGGAACCTGCCTCCCAGACGCGAAGCCCCGGCGAAGACTGAGTATGACCATGGACTAGGAGGCAGCAGGCATAGGATATCAGGCCGGGCCTGATGCCTGTGGGTGTCAGGGGGTCCCAGTCATCCCCAGATTGGGTCCTTGGGCCACCTCAGCCCACACCCCAAAATGGCAGAAAGGGACACTTCTATTCCACTGAGACAACGAGCAGGAGAGGCCGCGTAGACGTGGCCCACGGCAGCCCCGCCCCACTCTCAAGGGACTCAATCACCTGTGTGTTGATGGACAAAGATGTGAGATGAACAAGGGCTGGAGAAGGCTGGAATAACTGTGTTGTGACCCAGGGACCCCTGGTTGCTAAGTGCATCACCCCATAGGGCAGGTACCGCCGTGGACCTCGTTTTCAGATACAGAGAGCCTCACACCCCTTCTCTGTATTAGCACCTGAGTGCCCTCTGGGGAACTGCTCCTCCCCCATCTCCTTGTGACCCTTCAAGGGCCCCTTTTCCCTTCTCCACCCAGTGGGAATGACAAAGCTGAGCCAATCAGCTTCTCTTGAACAGAATGACACAAAGTGGGCAACTGTGCGGGGCCCATTTACTGATGGCAGCACCCTGGGGACGTGGCCTGGGAGTTTCTGCCCCCAGTCCCCAGGGCCGCCCTGGGATCTTTCTTTCCTACTCTGCTGGGAGGCCTCACTGTTTCGCTCTTTTCTGGATTCTGAAAGTTTCCCATTTCATAAAGGCTATTCTTTTAATAAATTATTTTCCTGCCTAAGTGAGCTGCTTGCAGTGTGAAGTCAAAGAGTCAAAGGGCCGTAATTAAGTCAAGTAACTGGTCCACAGCCCCAGAGCCAGGCAGTGGCAGAGTGAGCAAGGACAGACCAGGCCCACACGCAGGGACACGGCAGCAGGGTAGACCCTGGCAGGGAGAGGAGAGGTGGCTGGAAGGCTGGGCGGACTTCATGCCCCCCGGGGAAGGAGACAGCTGAGGACATGCCGGGGAAGGGGGGAGACCACAGGAGGTCAGACGGTGCGAACAGGGAGCCAGGGGAGGGAGAGGGCGGGGGCGGCCGGCCTACCGTTCGTGGCGCAGGAACACGTTGTTGAGGTTGTCGTTGACGATGAGCAGCTCCTCCGTGAGCTGCTCATTGGCGATTCGGGGAATGAGCTCCAGGACCCGCAGCTGCATGGCTCGGCACGTCCTATTGAGCTCCTGAGGAGGCAGGAAGGGAGATGGCCATAGTCCCTGGGCCCAGAGTGAGGCCATCGCCAGGGGCCGGGCCCCAGCCTTTGTGCCGCCTTGGAGGATGGAGGGGTTTCCAAACCGGACTCCAAGCTCCCAGGACAGCTTTCGGGGTTCCGCAAACAAGCCTCTGGCTCCCACGTCCAGTGTTCTACACCAATACTGAACATGCAGGAGACAAGTAACATGTGAGGCGGGGCTGCTGGCTTAACCTGGCTGCATGCAGACTTGGTATTATGGTTCCAGCCGCCACTTTTGCTCAGTTGAAAAACCAAGACCCCCAAGGGGCCGGTGAAACAAATCGCCATTTCTCTGGGTGACGGGGATCTTTCTGTCACCAAAACCTAAATAAATGAACTAGAGGACTCCAGCTGTTACCTGCGAACCCCGATTTTGAATTTCTGCCTCATTGTTTCCACTAATTTCTTTTTAAAGACTTCTTTACTTTGGAATAATTTCAGATCTGCAGAAATGTTGCCAAGGTAGTCGAGTTCCCGTAACCCCTTCACCCGGCTTCTCAGTTTGGCATTTGTCAAAGATGTGAACGCCAGCCCAGCCCTATGAGCTCAACTCCAGACTTTCTTCCAGTGTCGCTGTTTTCCCACTAATGTCCTCCTGTTCCAGGACCCCCCATGGCACTGAGTCGCCATGTCTGTGACCGATCTGTAATCAGCAAGTTACATGTTGAAACTCCTTTGGGAAAGAAAGAAAAAAAAAAAAAAGCCACAGCATTCGAAGTTCTTCCTTTGTAAGACTGACTTCTTCTTTCTTCAGGTACCTGTCACAAGGTGGACAGGCGCCTGGGTCGAGGTCTTGAGGTTCAAATGGTCGTCAGCACTGCTGACTGTGGCCACGTGCTGGCACATTCCTCCTAGAGGCCCCATGAAGACCAGACACTGCCCCGACATTGACCTGGGTTCTCTTTCAGACCCTGTTACCCACCCCCTCTGAGGATTTCCTCATCTGCCTTTACTGTGGGGCAGGGAGGGGCCGGAGCCACTTTCAACACCCTGTGGGCCTCCCCTCTCTTCCTCCTGTGACCAAGCACACTTGTGGCTTTGTTCCCACTTCCGTACCCACCCCTCTCAGCAGCCGAAAAGCAGCAGCTGGAGCCAGGCTCCTGGGCTCGAGTTCTGCTGCTTACCAGCCACATGACCCTGGGCACATTCCATGACCTCTCTTTGCCTCAGTTGACTGATCTAGAAAATGGGGATAATGAGAGAACCCGTCTGCTGCTGGGTGCGGTGAGGACGGAGTGAAGAATGAATGCGTATCAAGTGTTAACATCAGAGCCTGGTGTGCAGGAAGTGCTCATTGCTTGTGAGCTGTCCCCATGTCAACCCAGCACTCACACCTGGTGATTCCTGGGCCTTGGTCGCTGCACCCCCCCATCCCCCTCCCCCCCCCCCCCCCCCCCCCCCCCCCCCCCCACTGCCTGCTTTCTTGGCACCTCTGTGAACTGACCTCCACGGCTGGGGTGGTGCCTTCAGTGGCTCCCAGCTGGGGATGGGACTGCGGGAATACATGTGACATATGGAGAGAAAGCCGGTGGCTTGCACCTGCCCCAGGGCCCGAGACCACCTGCTCTTTACTCTCAACGCCGGCGCTGCTCCCATACCTGCCTGCAAGCTTCAAATTCTGGAAGGGGGGAAATCCCACCTCCAAGCTTCTCCTCAATACCATTGACTGGGGGCCTACTCGGAACCAGGCCCAGGGCTGGTGTTTTACATGCAAAGCCTTATTTAATTCTCATGTCACACTCAGACCTTAAAAGCTCTTATGAGAACAATCTTACAGATGAGGAAGCTGGGGCAGGAGGGGCCATTTTGTTCCCACTAGAAAATGGCAGTGCTGGGGTCCAGAGTCCCTGGTTTTAACCCCTCCCACTGTGACCAAGGAGTTCAGAGGAAGTCACGAAAGCTGCAGTGTGGGTGGGGGAGAAATGTACGTGGACCGCTGGGCGCTCGCTCACCTGTAGCAGCTCCACGTCTGCAGGCTCTGCCTGGGTGGGGACCAGCTCCGTCAGCATCTCTGACATCACCCTCACGTTCCCACTCACCATCTCGAGCTCGCTGCGTAGCTTCCCAATCTGAAACACACCGTTGGCCCTGGTGAGAGAGGCCAGGGGGCCAGGGCCGCTGCTCACGAGGAGAGGCTGGCGCCATTAGCCCAGGGGAGCTGACCCGCCAGGACCCTTTTGGCTCCTGGGCCACAGCGCGGCACGAAGAGGCCTGTGGTGGGACTGCCCCACCCCCCCAGAGACCCCCTCACAGAGGTCTACCGACCGTTACCATCTCCAAACTGGGGAGCCTGGTTCAGGGAAGGCCAAAAGGAAAGAAGCTGAAGGTAAATGCACCACAGAGTGCGGCTGCAGGGCTCCAGCATCTCCTGGGGCCAAGATGGCAGCTAACGAGGCCCTGGAGGGCAGTTCCCCGCCCAGGGGAGAGGAGGGAATCAGCAGGCCGGCTTCCTGCCTAGGATGACAGCTTACTCCCCTCTCCTCTCCTGTGAGGACAGGACTTGCTCCTGGTCTGCTCCTCCTGGTCTGTTCTGGTGTCCTGGGCTCTTTCAAGCATGAGTGCCACGCCCCACCTTGAGTGTGAAACTCAGATTTAGCACTTGTTAAAACCATGTTAGCAGGTTTTCAGTGATCAAAGGGTTCCAGGGTGTCAGCTTGGGGAATCAGCATAAATCAGGCTGCACAGTCTCCACATGGGTGAGGTGGCGAAGGGCCACTGGTCCAGTGTCTTATGCTGTGGGGCTCTGTGGGGTGCTTGGTCTCAGGAACTCTGCGGACACTGCGAATGTCTAGTAAGGCATCAATATGAAAATCCTTTTTTTTTTTTTTTAAACTTAAAAGATTTTTGAGAGAGCGAGCGAGCAAGCATGGGTGGGGGAGGGGCAGAGAGAGAGGGAGACAAGAGGACCTCAAGTGGGCTCCATGCTGCTGACACGGAGAGAACCCAATGCGGGCCTTTAACTCACAAGCTGTGATACCATGATCCGTGCTGAAGTTGGACGCTCAACTGACTAAGCCATCCAGGCGCCCTGGTATGGAGGTTCTAAAATTAATCTGGACGAAGAACCTTGGCCATGGAATACCTTATGGGTCCAGTTATTAAGTGGCTTACGTTCTGAGAACTGCATGTGACCTAGCTGATTTCAGATTACGAGAGTCAGTATATAAATTTACGATGCCTGTGACAGCAGCCACCATTTATTAACCACCTACCAAATGCCAAACATTTAACTTTTGTTGCTCATTAAACTTCACCACAATCTTACGAGGCACGTATCATTATCCCAGCCTTTACAGATGAAGAAATGCGGGTGCAGACACAGGTAGTAACTACGGGTCACAGACACCTTCCAAACCCCAGGACATGTTTGGTACATTTGGCCGATTTAATGAACACTCTTGGTATAAATGAGTGGAAAGACTACTGACCACAAGCCCAGTGTGTCCGGGTCCGATGGGACCTAATTACAACAGAGTCTGGGAGTGATACCACTGGATGCCTGGAAGCTTTAACATGCCCCAGGAGACAAGCGGGGAGCTGGAAACTAAACACCGCCTACTCAGTTTTGTTTAACGAGAACCTTCTTACCCTGGATGTCATCAGGCTTAATCCACGCCGACGTAAGACTTCAGGCAGAAAGGTTAAAAGCATAACTAGGCTGCGTGAAATTTGGATCACAGGGTGATTTTACAGGTTTTATACCACTTTAATTGTATGTCCAGTTAGGAAAACTTTTCTAGTAATATTTGTGACTCTGGGAGGTGATTTTATAACTTATTGTGAGATACCCAGTACAGAAGCTTCTCTTCAGATAGGTTGGGGTGTGAAGGGCTGCTGGCAGGTTTGTTCATAAGTCCAGATGAGACAGTACAGGAGATTAGTGGGTCCACTCTGGAAGGTCAAGTTTCACTTTGTTTCCATCACAGACCTGTGTCTCTCTTGCCAGTATCTTTAACAGCTAAGCTTTCACGTGTAGCTGGTACGATGGGTCTAAAGTTCATAACACACCTCAAAAGTGGGCATGCCGACAACACAAGGCCTCAGCTCACACCCCAACAGCCACGTCTAAAATGGGGGCACACTGGGGCGCCCGGCTGGCTCAGCCAGTAGAGCATGTAGCTCTTAATCCCAGGGTCGTAGGTTCAAGCCCCATGCTGAGTGCAGAGATTACTTAAATAAATAAACAAACTTAAAAATAAATAAATGAAATGAGCATGTATCCAGCTTATTTTGGTGACGGCTGCAGATATCCCTTGGGGGGCAGGCGGCTTTGCCAGGTGGCCTTGCCCCCCACTCCAGGAGGAAGAAACTGAGGGACAGAAGCTAAGTCAGTGTGTCGTGAGTCTGGTTACCCACCAACACTACTCACAGTGCTATTCAATCCTGCAGCGCTACTCAAGGAGCCCCGGCCCCTGGAATCTTAACACTGCACCCCAAACCTTCTTCTTGGAGCTCTGTGGGAAGCATCATGGGTGCAGAGCAAGGGTTTAAAACATTTTTTTGTGCAGATGTGTTAGAACTGTTTTTAGCCAGAACCTCTGTTCAGATGAAATCGTATTTGAGCACATAAACAAACCACCCAAAGACGACGAAGACGCTGTTGCCGAAGGGGCCACCTACTGGGCACTTACTCTCCCCGGTGCTGCCTGAGGGGCTCCGTGGGGCACACACTTTGGAGAACAGCCGAGGTGCAGGACCGAGTCTGCTGGGAGTCAGACAGACTTGAGCTTGAATCCCACCACCATCTCTGACGAGCTGTGCGGCTCTGGGCAAGTGAGTTTATCTAAGTCTCGTCTTTGAAACAGGAAGAATGATACATACCCAGTGGGGCCACTGTGAGGATAGAAATTTCCATAACGAGAGGGGCCCTCCCTGCCCCGCGTGGCTCTGACTCAGGCTTGTTTACCTGCTCAGGGGTTGGCGTGATGGGTGTGTCACTGGGGAGTGCGGCCGGGACGGGCAGGGGGGCGGTGTGCTGGGTGGAGTCTCCTCCGTGGCTGGCATCAGTGCCCACAGAATTCTGCCCTGATGGCGCCTCTGAGCTGAACACGGTCTAGAGGGCAAAAACCGGGATCAGCGAGGTGGGCAAGGGCGTCAGAGAGCAGCTGGGGAAACTGCTTGGTAATTCCCCCACCTGCCCTCCCCGCTGCTCCCGCGGGATGAGTCTCCTCACCCTCTGGGGTGTGTGGATGGGCGACAGCATGTCCAGGTCGGTCATCGGGAAGTCCAGGCCCTTCCTCCGCAGGTCCTCGTAGACGGCGACCACACCCGTCAAGTCGGGCGAGCTGCGGAACGCGTCAGCCCAGGACTGAGAGGGGACAGGGGGACACGGCCGGTAACTACTGCTCGCCATCTCCCCCGCGAGCCCACCTATCCGCCCCCAGAGAGCAGAGATGCCCTGACTCGCTGGTCCTCGGACCGCCACGCCCACGTAGCCCCCGCCAAGCCCCCTCCCCGCACTCAGAACCTCTAGTCAGCGGACACCAAGACGGCCCCACGTGAGAAGGAGCTGGAAGCAGATGGAAGAGCAGCGATGGTGGGGGCGCCTTGCTGCCCGGCCAGGCCCGAAGCTCTCTCCCCACCCCGGAAGGCGGCTGGCACGGAGCTTGGCCCGGCCTGCCTGCGCTCACCTGGATGAGGTTTAGCACCTTGTCGTGCACGATGGTGGGTGGGTTGTTCTTGGGCAGGATCGTCCTCACCAGCACGCCCTCCACAAAGTCCTGGCTGGCCACCAGCACGTGGAAGCGGTGCCCGCAGTTCTTGACGCAGGTTTCCAAGACCTGGAGGCCGTGAGGGGCCCGTGAGCAGGAGTGCCCAGGACCCTTGCACTCGGCCTCCATCCCGGAGGAGAGGCTGAGTACGGGAGGGGCCCCCTCAAGTGAGACCCTGGAACACGGAGAAGTGGGGACAGTGCCCCGGCTCGGGGGCTGGTGTGCCCACTAGTGGCCCCTCACCGAGTGGCCTCAGCACCCACAGAAGCCTGTCCTGAAGCTGCTTCTGAGCCGAATACAGTCTGGAGGGAGGGTGGCTCTCCAAATGGAAACCACAGTGAACTTCCATAATCCCATGGTGACCCTGCAGCCCCAGGACCAGGCGCTGAACTTCCCTCCTCGTTTCTTGTTCTGCCTTCCTGGCTGGAAGTGCCCTGCTCTTTAGCTGGATTCACCTGACATAAGTGCTGCTGGGGACCCCGGGACAGAGTGCTGTCTCCACTCGCAGCCAAACCCCTCCGACAGCCAGGATGCCCCCTCTCGCCTGGCCCGTCCTTGGCCACCGGCATTTGTTTTATGCACACTTTCCAGGGCATCCAAGTGCCCAATTTGCCCGGCCAGGCTTTCTGCCCTGCTGAGCTCTGGGTTCACCGAGCTTCTGTGTCACTTGGCAGGTCCTCTGGCACGAGCTGTCCGTGACTGGGTCTGGAGGGATGTGGGCCTCAGGGTGTCTGCTCCCCATGCCAGGAAGTTGGAGAGAACTTTGCCAAATGGCCACTCTGTGTCTGCCAACACTGTAGACAGGACAGCGCTTTGCCCACAGACCTTTCCTTCTCAACCCCTGGAAGAGGAGCCCCAGGGTGGCTGGGAGTCCTGCTAGGCCTGGGGGAGGTGTGGCTCTACCATGGAGGGACAGACGGATGGATGGGGCACTCACCGTGAGAGCCAGCATCACCTCGTGGAAGTTCTTATTCCCTACAATTCTTTTCTTCACTGCTCGGAAGGCATCTTTGGGACTGGGCACAAGAAGGACAAAAGGAAGGATGCGCTGAGGAATGGAACCTTCTTATTCAACACATGGGGCCACCTACCTAAGATCAGGAAGCCCTGGAAAATGGGGCTGGTTCTGTCTGTCCATCCGTCCGTCTGTCCATCCATCCATCCATCCATCCATCCCATCCATTCATCCCATCCCATCCCATCCCATCCAAGCCAGCCACTCATCCATCTTTCCTGTGTCCTGTTTCCTGCTGAACACACAGGTTCTAATCACAATACAAACTGCCTGCCCTGCCAAAGTCCTCAGTAGGGCATGAATACTTGGCAGAGATTCTCCAGATCCCTTGCACCAGAATCCTCTTGGGGGGAGGTATGAGGGTTTGTTAAAAACGCAAAACTGGGGCGCCTGGGTGGTGCAGTCGGTTAAGCGTCCGACTTCAGCCAGGTCACGATCTCGCGGTCCGTGAGTTCAAGCCCCGCGTCAGGCTCTGGGCTGATGGCTCGGAGCCTGGAGTCTGTTTCCGATTCTGTGTCTCCCTCTCTCTCTGCCCTTCCCCCATTCATGCTCTGTCTCTCTCTGTCCCCCCAAAAATAAATAAACGTTGGAAAAAAAAATTAAAAAAAAAAACCCGCAAAACCCAGGGCTCCCACCCTAGGTCCCTGAACCAAGCTCTCCCGGGATCTGTATACTCATCACACCCTCAAGGATTCCTGATACACACTGGGGTTTATAAACGAATAACGTGTGGGCAGAGTCCTGGGGCCTCATCCTGGCCACCTCCTCTCTCCACCCACACTTCCACTCAGGTCTTATTAAGTAGTCACACATGCTGGCACCATGCTGGGTGCTGGGGACACACTGGTGAACGTGCGGGTCTGCTCTCAAGGACCACATGACCAGGGAGACCCACATCACTGTGGGAAAGAAGGGGGGCCCGCAGTAAGAGTGAGTGGGTGTCAGGGGAGTCCTCTCTGGGGTGACATCACGGCTGGGCGTGAAGGATGAGATGGAACCAGCTGAGGGGAGGAGGGAAGTGGTTCAGGCAGAGGCGGGAGGGACTGGATGGAGGCCGTGCGGGGAGGCGGAGGGAGAGGCTGAAGAGGCCCAGGCCATCCCGGTAGGGAGGGTGGACATACCTTGTGCAGGGGGAGCCCTGAAGGCTCTGCTGGCAGCCTGCCCTCCCTGCCCCATCTGTCGCCCAGCCCACGCACGCCGGTGGCCTCACCCCTACGTCCTGTCCTTCAGCTCTGTGCAGGTGAAATCAATGTTGCCCCGATGCTCTGGCCTAAAAGCCTTTGTGGCCCCCAACTTCCACGTCTAAAATCTGCCTCGCCCACGACTCCCAGTCCCCCATCTCCCTGGTGCGCACTGTCACACGACACCCACCTGGGGCTCCCTGGCTGAGAAGATGCCCCCCAAAGAGGGGGCACCGTGTCCTCTCTTGACACTTGGCCTCCCAGAGCCCCGTACGCTACAGGAGCATGAGCAACATTTCCTAGGCTGGGGAGTGGCCCCTGGGCCTGTCCTGCTGTCTGCCAGACATCTGTCTGTTCAGTGATGAGCCCGTCAAGAGCGGGTCAGGAAAGTCAGGAACCCCGACACGGGTCCCGCCACACGAGCGAAGGCGGCAGGCAAGGTGGAGGAGAGAGGCCTGTCAAGGGTGTGATGGACACACAGGACACGTGGGGTGAGGGACCATGGTCCCTGACAGGGTGGGCCCCTGTCCCAGAAGGGTGGGGGTAGTTTTCAACCAATGCCCTGGGGCAGGCCGTCACCCTCGAAAGGGACTTGTTTCCACGTTTCAGAGCGGCCCAGAGAGAGGGCACAGCACTGGGAATCAGAAGTCCAGGCTTGTGTGCCATTGCTGTGGGCCTGTTGCGCTCAGTACCCGGCTAGGAGCCCAGACTGGACGGCAGGGAGGCCACAACCCACTGGGGGGTAGACCTAGACCAGAGATTCAAGGCCAAGGGTCACATCTGCTCTGCCCGCTGCTGGGTCCCTAAGGCCTCGTGCAGTGCCTGGAACACAGGAAGTGCTCAAGTCAACAGCATATGCGCTTGAACCCAAGTACGCACGAGCCCCAGTTCTGCCAACGCTTATAAGGGAGATGGGGACTTGCCTCTCCAGGGGGTTTGTGCAGCCCCAGGCCCTCTCAGGGGCTCCTTGAGCCTGTCCGCCCCCCATCTTTTATCTCGGTGGCCCTGCCGTTGCGGTCTGCCCCCTGCTGGGGATGCTGGAAGGTGCCGGTAGCCACTGTGTGCTGCCCTCGGTGCTCCCTGCCTGCTGCCCGCTTCCAGCTGCCTGGGCTCACTTTCCCCACAAAGGGACCATTTGGGTGAGAAGGACCCCGAAGACCAGCTGGATTATGCCAGTGAGAAATGGAGAGCGAAATGAGGTCCCCGCTCCAGCTGTTGATTCTGATTTCTCAGATCGTTCCGTACTTCCCGATGACTGTGGTCCCACCTCTTCCCACCCTTCCTGGGTTCTCCTGAGGACAGTGACCCTGCTTTCCCTCTCTGCTCCCCTCGGGACTTTGGGCTTACTGCTGGAAGAATCTAAAGAGATATTTGCCTCTGATGACAAAGACCTAGGGGGGTACAGTGACTTGCCCAAGGTCACACAGCTGGTCAGAGAGTGCTAGTCAGAGACCAAGAGCCCAGACCACGATGCCTCCTCCACAGCATGTGTCCTGGGGTGACCTGTGTACCAGAAATGCTTGGCAGAAGCTAATGCCGATGGGCTCTCAGTTCTGCTTCATTGTCACTGCCTTCTCCACGTCCCCTGACCCCCTCAGGCCCCCTCCCCTGCTGGTTCCAAATCTTAAGGAAATGAAAGTCTGTTCTCGCTCACAGAGAAAGCTGGGAGTCTCCCTGCCCCTTCTAGCCCATGTGGTGCGGAACAGTGCTTGGGGCCATGTCCCAGTGCTGGGAGCCACCAGCTGGCCGCGTCCCATGAGGATGTGGCCCAGGTGATGTCCTAAGAGGTCCAGTTGGCCAGGCTGTGACCTGAGAGAGGCCGTGTGGGCTGGTAGCCCCCCAAGGGCATCTCTGGGTCCCCTGTCCATCTCATGACAGCATTGGATGGAATCTTTGTTCCAAAATGTCTAAGATGTCACACTCCTGCCTGGGGTGGGACTCAGAGGACCTCTGCAGCCCTCGTGGCACGGAGGACCACAGGAGGGTCTCCCCTTGCACTCCAGGAGGGGTGGGAATGGGGAGGGGCTATGTGGCAAGAGGCAGGCTGCACTGCGGCTGGCTGGCCGACCGTCCCCCACCCCCCGCCTCGCCTGCGGGCCTCACCCTTCCTCAGTCTCGTTGATGATGTCACAGATCTCCATGTTGAGGGCCCAGTCCTCGCTCTGCAGGGAGCCATCTGTAGCCTTCTCTGCGGAGGAGAAACCACAAGTTACACGGTGTGGGGGGTCCTGGACAGGCAGACTCAGCCGTGTGCAGGTGTGTGGTGTGGGACGCGGCGGGAAGGGCCAGAGAGGAGAAGGACGATGGGTACTTTTTGGGGCCTCAAGAAGGACCAAGTGGCGTGCAAACTGTTACCTACCTTGTTCCGTTTTGTCATTTAATTGTTTTGGTTTTTGGCTGCATTTTATAGTCTTCTTTTTTTTTTTAAGTTTTATTTATTTATTTTGAGAGTGAGTCATGGCGGGGGGGAGGCAGAGAGAGAAAGAGAAAGAGAGAGAGAGAGAGAGAGAGAGAGAGAGAGAGAGAGAATCCCAAGCAGGCTCTGCGCTGTCAGTGCAGAGCCCAATGCGGGGCTTGAGCCCACAAACGATGAGATCATGACCTGAGCCGAAACCAAGAGTTGGCTGCTTAACCGATTGAGCCGCTCAGGCGCCCTGTATTATTTTTTCGTTTTAAAAATGTGTTAAAATACACATAACATTTGCCATCTTAACCGTTTTTAAGTGTATAGTTCAGCAGCATCAAATACACTCACGATGTGGTACAGCCGGCCCCACCACCCTTTCCATCCTGCAAATCTGAAACTCTAACTCCCCATTCCCCCCTCCAGCAGCCCCTGGCCGCCACTGCACTGTCCTTACGATTCTGATGCACTGTCCTTACGATTCAGCAGCCGCCACTGCACTGTCCTTACGATCCCGACGACCTAACACATCATTTAAGTGGTCTCATACAGTATTTATCCTTTTGTGATGTCACTTAATTCTTACAGCAGCCACGTGAGGCCAGGAGCGTCACCGTCCTATGATCACCGAGGAGGCCTCGCGGCTCAGTCTACCAACCGGATGAGTGGGGACAGCAATCCGGCGGGCTGGTTTCTGACATGAAACTACGGAGGCAGTGTTTTATTTTCGCAAATAAAATGCTCCTTCTTGACTTTCTATTATCTTTTGAGTTGGTATCTTTTGATCATTCACGTGGTTCAAAACTTAAAAGGTTCCCAAGCGGCACACAACACAGAGTAAATCTACCTGCCTCCCCGGCCCCAGCCCCACTTCCCAGTGGCCCTACTGGGAACCAGTTTCCTCTCAAACCTCCCAGAGAATTTTTTTTTTTAAAGCTTACTTATTTTGAGAGAGAGGGAGAGGGAGCCGGGGCGGGGCGGGGGGCGGCACAGAGAGGGAGACAAACAGAATCCCAAGCAGGCTCCATGCTGTTGGCACAGAGCCCGACGTGGGGCTCGAACCCACGAACCATGAGATCGTGACCCGAGAGGAAGTCGGATGCTTAACCGACTGAGCCACCGGGGCGCGCCTCCCGGAGACATTCTTAACCTATGAAGCAAAGGACCCAGGGTAGTT